GAGATCCTGGCATCCTTCATATGATGCTGGCTTTACAGCCATGCAGAATGCAAGAGGTAGTCACAAAACATTCTAACCAGATGTCAGCAGAAGGCCTGCAATTCCATATATGATATGGTCAGAGTTCCTGGAGCAACCTTTGACTGAGTGGCATGTAAAGCTATGAGAGTGAAGCTAAAGTTGCAGTGGAGAAACCAGGAAGTTGGAGATGCCAGGAATGTGGAATACCTGCCAATATACCTTCTAAACTAATTATATGAAAGTAGCATTATTCTGATACCAAAACCTGGTGAGAACATAGCAAATATAAAAATGCAAGCCCATATTATTGATGTACACACATGCAAAAATACTCAATTAAATTCATATGAATTGAATTCAGCAGTATATTAAAAAGACCATAAACAACAATCAACTTGGTTTCATTCCAAGCATGCAGGAATTGCTAAGCATATAGAAATCAATAATGTAGTGCAGTACAGTAGTAGAATGAAGGATAAAAATCACACAATCTTCTCCAGGGGTGTAGAATAATCCTTGGATAATATGTCTGTTAAAAAGTAGGACCAGGGCAGAAGAGGTGGGTCCCTGAGGTGGGGCCAAGAATGGTGCATTCTCCACAGAATCCTGCTTTCTTACTCTGCTTCCTAGTTGCCATGGTTTAGAGAGCTTTCTTTCAGCAGGACCATTCATCATGCTATTTCAGTGGCAAAGAAATAAATCAGTGGCAAAGAAAGCCCTCCACTTTTAAAATGTTGGGTGTCAGGTATTTCATCCGGCAATGAAAAAGTGACTAATGCACAAAACAGTAGTATCAGAGAAGTTGGGTCTTTGATGTGACTAAACCTGACTACCTGGTTCAGAAGCTTTCAGACCTAGCTTCTGGAAGGAACTCAGTGAAAACTGGAATAGAGAGGCCGTGGAATTCTGTAAACAAAGCTTGATGGAAGATTCTGGCTGGAGCTCAGGCCAGAAGGCTGATAGAAATGTGAAAGGTCAGGTTTATGAGGTTACAAATAGAAACAAGGATTATTACTTGAGTTGAACTACAGACAATGCATGTCGAATTTTGGCAAAGAGCTTCATTTGCCCATGTCCCGAGAGTCTGCATGAAGCTAAATTTAAAGGTGGTAGACTAAGTAATCTGGAAGAGAAAAACCCAATGCAGCCCAACTTTCAGGCTGTGGCATGGGTACTGTCAGCTACTTTTAGTCAGATCTATAGTGAGAATCAGGAGCAAAGACCAAAGCTGAGGATTTGAAAAATGTACAGTTTGTCCAAAAAGAAAGTACATGTAAACTTGGATCCATGGAAATTGTGGTGACTGAAAAGATTAGTGCCATTAAAAAGGGGCCAAACACTGTGCACTAGGACATTGGAAAAGATATCTAAGGGCATTGTAGGAGATGGCCAGATTCCACATATCACAGGCTGAAGGGACTAAAACTGTGAATTCTTTTTAAGAACTTTGCTTCAGTAGGTGAGCCTCCTAACCCACTGTTCACTAGGGCTGCCTAGGGAAATGTATTTCTCAATTCAGCTATACAGGTACTCAGAGGTCACTGTAGCTGTGGTCCAAGGGAGTTGAGCTACTGCTAGAGATGGTGGCAGATCTTGGCATCAACCACATGATGCTAGTTTCATAAGCATTCAAATACAAGAATTTTAGGGTCATAGACATTTCAGCCATACTTCATTCCTTAATATGGATATGTCACAGCTCATTGAACCGTGATTTCACTAAAGGGCATTCAAAAGTGGTTGTAGAACATGTTCTCTATATAAGTTTAATACACACGCTTTTACATCTTTATTAGTAAAAATGGAAGAGCTTCATAGAATTTATGAGAATTTATGCATAGAATTTATGTATAAAGTTAAGAAAAAGGTACAACTTTCCTTCTTTCACAGCATGCTCAGTAGATGGATTCAGTTGCATAAATGTAATAATCTTTTCCCTCATAGTTTTAAGGTACTACATTTATAACATAGTATTTTTTATGAGCACAGATTTGCCTGTGAATTATTTTATTCCAGATTCATTTGTAAGCCTTTCTGATGGCTTATCCTAATGTAAATATTTATTCTTTTTGTGCATCCCCTAGTATCCTATCTCCAAAAACCATGTATAGTAAATTTCAATAGCTGACTGGACAAGCCCCACACTTTTTTTCCATTAAAAACTTTCCTGCTACTCTTACAAACTCATTTAAAGTTAAGGTTGTCAACTCTTAAGAGAAATTGTGGAACAAATTAATTACAACGCAGTGGAGCTGATTTTGGCTGATCAGAGTTGCAATCAGCAAGCACAGAGATACAGACAGCCTGAATATGTGCTTCAGGAATTAGAGATTTCAAACACATTTTAAAGACAGAAACTACGATGGAAAAGGTGGATTGCTGTTGGAGACCACTAAAAAGTAGCTCTGAGCAGGATTTAATATTAACCAACTACCTTTCTGTGTTCACTTGTGAATCTGTCCAAGGTTAGGCTCCTTATTTGGAAATGGCAGACTCCTAGTAAGTGAACCTCTGTGAGTCACTAATCCCGACTAGAACCTGTAGTGATGGATGAAGCCAGAAAGCCTCAAATGATAAGACAAGATCACAGCCAAGGACACGTGGGTCAGATCTTAACTAGATGAAGACTATAGCCTCAGCCATCTCATTCTTCAGTGGATTAACTTCATACCTTACTTAGAAAAGTCCTTGTGTGAGTCCAACCTTCTTGAGTGCTCCCCTCCCTTCTTCTGATAACCAAATAAATACAGGCCACCCAGAGAAGTTCATGGTCTTAGCCCAGAGAGAATCTTGAATTATGTGAAAGGGCTTTGATCCTCCTGGAGCCTGAAATCATTCCATTTGCCTCTTTCTATCTAGCCTTCCCTGTACACTCATTCAGGAGACTGTGGACCTGATCAGCCCACAATAACAAAGGGATATTATTAATCCCATAGATTCCATCTGCTATGTGTTAAGAATTTAGTTTGGTACAGACTGGGGAGCAAGCTGCCTTGTAAGAAATGAATTGGGTCACTTAAAGAGTATATAAAGCAGTTCCCAGAAATGAGGAGGAAGAAGGACAAGAACAAAGAATTTCATGGGAAAGAGAGAGAGATAGGGGTCAGATGACCATGTTGTCTGTGAGACCAGAATGTCCCACTCTGGTAAACATTATGGTTCTCAGTAAGGAAACTGTAGGATGATGCAAGGTTTGGCCTGCTGGGTTTTCCAGACTCCCTGGGAAGAAGATGCAGAGGATGCAGAAAGCCTAGTTTGTTTTGAGGTTGGTGCATGTGTGAAGCCTGGTGTCTCATGTGCTCTCTAGCAGTTTATGGTATCTCAATCTGCCCTTTGGTGTTGATCTTAATTTTTCTACAACAATCTTATTTGCAACACTTTCCGCACATATGTTCAGTGCACCCAAATACTTCTTGGACCTCACTGTGATCTTCTGTATTTCTACAATTTTCCACAGGTGATTTGTCCTCTGGAAAAGCTATTTTCTGTTCATTGTTTCTATATCAAAGAGAACCTGGTTCTTTCACTTCACAGAAAACACCCATTGTTAATAAATTTTCCTTCATCTGAGCATACAGCATTTCATACTTCTAAGTAGAGTCCCTGGTGTCATTGGCTTTGATCAATTTGCAGATACATCTGGCTCACATAGGAGGAAGGAAACAATGAATTTGTCCTCATGCAACAGTGCACAGCTCAGGTTTGGCATAGCAGCAGGTTCTAGACAGCGTCACTTCCCAACTGAATGAAATCACTGGACACTATGAAGTACTGTAAATACACCAAATATTTTATTTCTATCCAGATGAACATCATATTGTTGTTCTTCCAGAGAAGGCAAAGGAAGTGGTTCTGAGAGTTTTTGCTCCTAAGAGGAGCTAAAGAAGGGAGAATCCAACCTGTCATTCTGTGGCAGAGCCACCTTTGAGATGCCCTTGTGGTGTCTTGGTGTCTTTTTGGTGTGATTTATACAATAAGTTTTGTGCGTCTGCTTCACTCTGTCCCTCCCTTCTCACCCCCTCCCCATCCACTCTGCCTCTCCCAAATGAATGCATCTGTGCTTTGGTATATGAAATATTTTCCATATGTTCTGGAAGTTAGCTTTGTAAGATATCTATTATAAGAGGCCTCTGATACTCCTTTTTTCTAATTTAAAATCCTAATATTTCATTTTCCAGGGTTAAACCACACCATTCAATTCCTAGTTATGGGAAAATCTGTGAAGATTTTCATGTGTCCTTATCCAATTTTGCCACTCCTTGTATTTTTACTGGTTGCACTGGAGAAAAGATATCGGACTGTGGTGAATTTAAAATTATTTTTCATGTTTGCTCTTGCATATGACATTTTTACATACATGCTTTAATGTATTTAATATTTAGTGTGAGTTCTCCTCCAAATTTATCTAGTGGTTTCTTGAGGTTGTAATGTAGTGGATTCCTCAGGAAAAAGCTGTTAAAATGAGAAAGTGGATGACTCTTCCCACACGTCTGACATTTGGTTGACAAAACAGTAGCTTCTAAAATTTTTTATTGATGATGAAACAAGAGGTGCCTATCAATTCAGAAGTTTTTCATAGTTATTTATCCATTCCTAAAAGACAGCGATTCTGACAAACTTGACCTGAGAGCATTCACTATCAACTGTGGGTAGAAGAGGAGGACTCTAACAAGTAGCGTCTATAAACTTGGGATCATCAAAAACACAGAAAACTGATAAATTGGTATATTCTTTTAAGCAGTTTAGTTTTCTTTTTATTTTCTGGTACGAAAATTAAACTCAAGACCTTGCATTTGCCAAAAAGGTGCTTATGCCTCTGAGCTATATTCCCAGCCCATAGTTAAGTTTTATAAACTTTAAATATTTAAATTGTCTGTCACTATTTTATTTCAAAATATTCTGCATGTCACAATGTCATCAAGATGAAGTTGTCTAATCTTCACAAAATGATGTTATGTAGGATAATACCAAAAGATTCATACGAGTCTAATATCTGTTTATTAATTCCTTGGTGATTTTTGGTACTTTCACACAATCTTAAAATGTGAGTATTGATCAGTTCAAAAATCCAGAATTATTACTTGAGTAGAATAATCATAATATTAATTTGAATTTTCTTTTAGAAATGCATGGAAAATTTTCTAACAAATAAGCAACAGTGTAAAACACAAAAAAATGATAAAAAACTACATGATTATAGTTATACTACCTTTTTGAAATTACTGGTGATAAAAAACTAGAGTTGTTGAGAATTTTTAAGGAAAGAGTCAAACACCGTTTCAAAGAACTCCAGAAATTGCTGCCTTGCAGTTTGTGTCATCATTAAAACTTTCCATGTGGCCAAAGTTAAGGAATCTGGAAAACATACAAGGATTATACATAAACTCCCATGAACATTTTTAATTTCATCTTGCAATATACGATTGATTGATTTTCTTTCATTTACCTTCCACTAGTTATTGATAAAATCATAAATTATACCAAGAAAAACATAGCATATCTTTGTTAGAGTATTAACAATATATCATTTGGCAATGTCTGATCTACCAACTTTATTTCATCCTATCTATTATTTTAGTGCTGAAGTCATAAATTCTGCAAGATAAGTATAGCTAGAATATCACTGCTGTATTATTGGCATTATTTCTTTTTTCAGTTGTCAAAAACTGTACCAATCAATGTTCTTAATTATACTACTTTTATTCAGTCAAACTGCACATCTATTAGACAAAATGAATTTTGTCTACTCATTTTCTGGGATAGCCCTTGGAGGAAGATTTCCACAGCTGGAAGTAGACTCACTGTGCTATTCTTTGTGTGAAAGAAAGCTGCCTTCTGACTGATTTGCCACGTTACATCCAGGACTTAAGGAATAAGAAACTTTACACACCAAGTATCATATTTGCTACTCAAAGCAATACCAAGGATTGTTTAAAATGTATTTAATCTGTTCATGTCAATTTGCTTCATTTACATCTTCAAGATTCAAAGTTTTATGTTGAGAAAACACTAATAGTATAATTATGCTTTTAGTGTGGCTCGAAGTTTCAATGCATGGGTGGAAAATGAGAATGACATGGTAATTTTCAAACTTGTAATTAAAGAATTAGTCTAACTTATACTCTGCTAGGAGGCTCGGTATGTGCAGTGACAGAGCAAGAGACTCTTGCCTTGACCGGTAGTGTTTGATCTAAAGAATTGTGGCAAGTCCATTTGACAGGAATTCCATTAATCACAGCAAGACTTTTTTTGGAATTCCTTTATCTTCTTTTAAATTAATAGCAAAGTAGAAAGTTTTTTAAAAAGCAGTGCTGATGAGCAGGTGAAGCATATATGTGGGTATGTGGAAGAAAAGTATACACTCCAAAGTCCAGTATGGGGTCCAACGAAAGAACAGGCTATGGGTATGAGAACCATGATTGTTTGGTAGTCCTGCCATATAGCAAGATGATTATTGCTTAAAAAATGTAAGAGACCATCAGAAATCATGAATTTCCTTTTGGAGTCTGTGTTGTGAGTTTATGCCTCTGACTGAGTTAATCCTTTGGCTATCCCTTCAGTAGTCTTGATTATTCAAACTTTTTGATTCAGCTCTTACCTGTGTCTCTGTTCATGTCACCAATAATGTTTAGAGCCACCAGGACGACGTTCTGCAGATCAGTGAAGTTGCCAATGGAAGGGGCTATGTCAGTATTGGTGAGGATTCTTGGCGGGAGACCCTTTTGGAAGATAGAAGACCTAATCAAGGTGGTAGGAAGTCGAGCTGCAGCCAAGTAAAGCACAGCAGCAGCCCAGTTCTTCCCAAAATTCGCTTCTTGTTTAGAATAGTACGCGTACCTAAAACAGAATGCAAAGCATTCAGTTACGGTTAGTCAGCACAGAATTTCAACCTCACTTTCTTTGGAAATATCATCTCTTCCTAATACACATATCTAATACTTTAACTATTTAACAGTAGGTTTCATAATGTGATGACTTTAGCCTGTCTATCAGGAGATGTGAAGGTACATAATTAAAAGTGAAATTCTGGGATAAATCATCCCATCTGTTGATACTTTACTTTGCATTTTATATTTTTGAATTAGTCTATTTCTACTTGAAAACCATACAATAACTAGATGTAAGATTGCTTAAATAAATATTATTTTTAGCAATGTAGGGATTAATATCAAACATCTGTGTCAAACTTTTTGCTAGACTCAGGCATCCTTTTTAAAACTCTTGATTTCTTAAAGCAGGGAAGTTCCCAAAACACTGAGCATTCTAATGAAATAGAACAATTTTCTTGTTAATTTTCAAAATACTGGGAAGTTTTTCTACTAGAGGAAGTGTCTGTAAGGCTAATGTTTTGACTCATTATTTTTCTCACTCATTTTGGTAGGGCAAATGATTTCAGTGGAAAGTAATAAACAGGTTTTTCTGTCTGTTTGATTGATTTTGCACTACTGAAGGTTAAACCCAGGCTAGTCTACCACTGAGCTACATCCCCAGACCTCTATTATTTTTATTTGAGACAGTGTCTTGCTACATTTCCCAGTCTGGTCCCTACTTTGCAATCCCTCTGCCTTAGCTCGGAGAGTAGCTGGGATTACAGGTGTGTGCCACCGCACCCAGCTGTAGTTTTATGATGGTGCAATTCATGGATAGGGGCTCTGTAACCCATCACAGCATGGTGATAACTAGAAGTTCTCCAAACATTCTTCTGTTGTAAGATATGTTGCACACTGTTCACATGACTCACCGGGAGCATCAAATCTCATCTCAGATGTCATCTCCTTCACTAAGTTTTCCAGCCCCCTTGAGTTGAAATCAACCACTTCCCTCTCTTCTATGTTCACAAGGCACCGTCTCCATAGTTCAAGATTTGTTGTACTAGATCATTTTCTAAATTTCACAGTTTACATCATCGGCTTTAATTTGCCAACACTTATGGAAGATTCACCAGATGCACGACGTATGTATTTTGTTTACCAAGGTAAGGTAAACCATAACATAGACCAGAGAACACATCGTTTCTGCTTGACTCCCATGTGGGTGGGATTCTCCCTGCCAGAGGTGGTGAGGTGGGCAGAGTTAGATCCTTAAGGACACATGACTGGTGTGGGCTGAATCCTACTGATGCATTACAGTTGTCTATCAAATAATGATTACAGGAAACATCCATTCAGAAAGATTTTGAGCAAGGACCACATAACTGTAAAAACACTATACCTGTTCCAGACAGTGAGAAATACGTGTGAAAGCCCCTGCCATAGTAAAGCATTTTTAAGATTAACAGGGAAATCATAGCCAAGAGATTATCAACCACTAATTTTTACCATACCCTGGTCCAGACAACCAGTAGGGTGCTTACAAGTCTCCTGTTGTTGTAAACCTGAAGGAGGACCCATTCTTCACCCCAGTAACTCCACATTTTTCTCTACAGGTTTGTTCTTTCTTTGAATCATTGCCTCCCCAAGCTATCTCACATTCCTGGGCAGAAAACCTTTCAGGCAAACATTCAAGAATTAGAGAAAAACCTTCGTGGCATTGCTGTTTTGAATCCAGTTTGCAAGCCTCATCCATTGAAGGCAGCACAGGAATTTCAATGCTAGTCCTACCATTCACTAGCTGCTGGATTTTAGTTACCTTACATCATTAGTATAGAAAGAGCACTGGAGCCCCGCCTATCCTGAAGGCTACAGCCCCAAGCTATATCACTGTCAAGGAACAGTGTAGACACTGCCAATGCATTAAGCTTCTTCACTGTCCAATTTATTGGCAAGTAGCTGGAGATACAGGAAGAGGAGGATAGCCCTGTGAATCAACTAACCACCAAATCATTTATCTTGTAGATTGATAAGGTAGGTGGGCAAAGCAAAAACAAGTGCACTCTGAAGACTCAGACCTTTCTGCCTGGATTTACCCACCTACTTGTGCAGTGCCAACGAGTTCTTTCGTTGCATCTGCTATTTGCCATGCAAGGGTTTCTATCCTGTACCTCACTCTGGGTGGTAGATCTCAACCTCTAGAGAATGTTCTTTACTTGGAAATCAAACTTGCTTCTATAGCTGCACTTCCATGGGTTACAGTAAATGGGGTAGTTTCTTAATTATCTAGGCTCTTTTCTCTGCTAATCCTAACACTAGCTGATACTTTCTCAACTGCATATGAATATATTATATATTTAAAGTAATAAAAATAATAAAAGTTATCCACATTTGTAAATTCTGTTTTGTTTCCTACAGTTAGAACATTCCTTTCATGCTAATAGTGTTGTCAGCAATATTTTTGTCTCGCACTTTTTGGGCCTTCTTCATTCAATACGTCCTAATTTACATCCTGCTGAACTATTTTCACCTCATCACTCTAATCTCCAATTATTTAATATTAAGTTTTATTATTATTTCACATTGTCTTAAAATCGCTACCACCCCATCAGAGGAAAAATGCATAAATAAAACAAAATAGATAAAACAAACAAATGCATAAATAAAATAAATATAGCATTATTAAGGGCCAATATTCACTCTTACCTATCTTCAAAAATTTTAATAGACTCTTTCAAGGATGTGGTATGTGCCTCCCATAAGTATTTCAACAGATCTTCGAAGGTACTGGAAGGTTTCTGCACATACTAAAGGAAACAGGAGAGACATTATATTCCAACCCCCTGAAATCTAACCTTGCCAGGCATACATTTGACCAATTTTCTATAAGATGGGAGAGTTTTGTTTCTGACAATTAATATGTATAAGGCTTATTGGTGTCTAATACTTTATAAAAGGCCATAATAGGCAATAGTTTTAGCAAGGCACATCCACCCAGAAGTAATGAACTTCAAGTATTCTCAAAAGCTCATATTTTATACTGGCTTGGAGTTCCTTTTGTCATTTTTTCCATAAACATAATTAAAATGATCATAAAATCTTAAGAATATAAGGCTGTCTTTTACAATGTTGAATTTAATGTTTAAAGTGATAAATTGATAATATAACAAAGTGTTAAATCTGTCATTTTATCAATGACTTTAGTCGTTTAATCTGTTTAACCAATCTATTTTCTTTTCACCATAAAATATTTAGTTCAGTACAATATATAATTATTTCATTCTACCTACATATTATCATTTATTTATTTAGTTGAATTACAATGATTTACTGGTCTGAAACCAATGCTATATTCACATTTCCTTATAGTTCTCATAGTTGACCTAAAGTTCCAATTAACCATGATTGTCAGTTAATCTTATAAGAAAATATCCCATATGCTTATAACTTATGATATAATTTATTTGAAATGATAAAATGGAAAATTTTGTGTTAATATTATACTGGAATAGTGGGTATTACAGTTTACTTCTAAAATGTGTCCCAAAAGTCTCTTGTGTCAGTGGTGGGGCTTTCAGAGGGTGATTACATCATAAGAACCTTATCTAGGGACTAAACTCTCTGGAGCTGTGAGTCCAAATACATCTTTTATCCTTTATAGGGATATTTTTCAAGCATTTGGTCCCAGTGACAGAAAGACAGCCCAGTGTGTTTCAATAATATGTAACGCCGTACCATACCACTAATTATGAATATACTTAGTATAACAGTTTGTGTTTTCATTTTATGGAAAATATTACACAATGTAAAAAAAAATCCCAGACAAAATGCTATACTTGGAGGAATTTTCTTGCCATCTATTAAGAACATAAACTGTAAAATTTGCACAAGGAACCTGGAAAAATGTTCGCCACTTGCTCACTATCTCAGGGAAGGAGGAACGACAGCCAGAAACATCATAGCAGAACCGCATCTGGTCCTCGGCTGGTGGCAGAAGTGTAACTTGGTCTGGCGATATCTCCATTATGCCAGAATCAAGGGCAGCAAGAAAAGGTAGGACACTCAGAAAATAATTCATATCTGAAGGAACAAAAGGCTTGTTATTACCACCACTAGTGATAAATGTCAACGACCAGAATGTACTAAGAAAATAAAAACAGCTCTAGAAATATTTGATCAAAGTTAGGCACTGAAAAAATCATGAACAAAATCCACCTTAGAATTTAACTTCTGCCACAAATTCTATAATCACTTGTGTATATTGCTTATAGTTCTTGATATACTCATTTAAAACAAGAAGTAATTTGAGTACATCTAGCAATAATCATTTTCAAATCATTAAGTAATGCAGGAAGAAAACTATGAAATCCACAGAATGATAGAAAACATTATCTAAATTTGTACTCTGGATTATAGTTTTTTTCCTAAAATATTCTAATTTGATTGTGGCTTTGGTAAATAAATATTTTCTATTTCATAGATGTAAATTTAATTTGTATGCACATCACTAAGCTTTGCTTTATGCTATTTTTCTCAAACAAAATTTTTATGTTTTCTGGTGAGAGCTCATGAGAATAATAATTAAATAAGATTTATTAGAACAATAAATTAAATGATTAATAAGATTCTCTTTCTACCTGTAGAATATTTATCCCAGCAAATTTAGACATCTTGATTTAGTTACAACCTAGGTTTCTATTGACTCACTGGAAGTAAGTGATGTAAAATATTTCTCCCCTTAGATGTCACTTGCGAGTTCAGACCTATGCCCCAGCATGACAGGCTCACTGTGCAATCTACTACAGCATGTGGGTAAAACTCTAAAATCAAGATCTGTGAACCTGACTACTGGAGAATTTCTGAAAAAAATGATTCTGCATAGCACAAGAAAACGCAGTAGGGTACATACTATGTGTGTCCCTCAGGGGTGAAATTTAATGTGATCTTGTTTCTACTTACTCCGAGAAATTGTGTAAGTTTGTCTCATTACTGAAACACAAATATAAGGAATTGAAAAACATGTTCTAGTTGTTTTAGCTTTCAGTCTGTGACAAAAACCCTAGATTACAGAATAACAATGTGAAGTACAGTAGGTGCTACTCTCTGACGTGCTTTTGAGTTTCACTTTTAACTTCTAACTTTGGATCTGAGCAAAATGATAAAGCGTTGTTGTCTCGTCCCTCACTTCTCACTCTTCCTCATTCCAAGGAATCCCTGTCACCTTTGGGACCCACCATTTACCTGCCAGTATGGGCTCCTCAGAAGGCTGGCCCTTTATCCTTCCTTGCTCCAATTCTGTGAAAAGCTGAATATGTTCTAAAAATGACACCTGGCACTGTGGCTGTTACATCCTATACAGTGACACAGAGATCACCAGGTACAAAGAAAATTTAAAGTTTTTCCCAGATGCTTTAGTAGATTGCAGAGTGAGCCTGTCATGCTGGCATATAGTTCTGAGATAGACTCATTTTTTAAAAGGAACAATACTCATAAGTATCAAGATATGTATCAATACCCCACAATGAGTATATTCATTGTGTGTCCCAAACATACATTACAAAAATTTTTTAAAGAAATAAAATTTGAGAAATGAATGCACACAAAAATAAATAAAAAGGAAAGGTAGCGTTTTTTATTTGTCCATGTCTATAAGAATTTGGGTGGAATGCTTCTCTTTGCAGAAATATAGTATTTAATTTAGCTATTTTGTTGAACTCACCAGCCCACCAACTGTCTGAAGAAATGCAGAGATGGTCAGATTCGTAGCCACAGTTTGTCCTTCTCGTAGGGTCAGCTAATCTACCTAGGGATCCGAAATACACAGTTGTACTTATTAGACACATTTCAAAATTAACCATGAGATTCGTGTAGCTGGATAACGTTATCTGCATATGCACAAACATACATTTACAAATTACTGGGCTTATATTCCCGTCGCTCTCTATTGCTCTTTGTTTCTTGTCTCTCAATCATTCTTTTCCTGAACCACAGCACAATTTTTGACTTATAAAAGTCTTAGATTTTTTGCTCGTATAAGTTTTCATACTTTTACAGTCTTCTTTACCTACTGTCCAAAATTATGGAAGAAAAGGAAGTGTCTGAGAGTCAAACAAGTCATTGCTCCATTACTCACTGGCTTAGCCTTTTCTAAATGTGTTCATTGTGCATGCCTCTGTTTCCTCACCCATAAAATCAGGGTAATAAATTCATAAGTATATCAGAAGTTTTGGTGTAAGGTGATAAAATCATCAAAAGTGTTTCACCTAATTACGTATCATATAATCACTAAAAGATAATCTTTCTTTTCCTTGATAAATTAAATTGGTTTTTTTTCTTCTCTTTCTCAGTCATTTTCTGCTTCGCTATGTTATCCATGTGGGGTGGGCAACAGACATCACTTTCTCTGAGGTTACTTCTGTTAACCAAAAGAAAATCATTTTTTGAGTCATGAATGTTTTGTACCACAACATATCTTCTGCACATACGTTGTAGTGAAAGGTACTTTATTTCCAGAAGAAAAAGATCACTTGCAAAGAAAGATCTGCATGAACAAGTGCTGCTGATTTATAACTATATGATCATGATCAGATAATCATAATTACACCTCCAAGAAATTTTAACTAATTTGGCATAACCTTCTGTTTTTACTTTATATCTGTTAGGTAATTCTGTTTATCCACGTGCAAAAAAAAGAAGTCCATTTCCACCCTTAGTGGGACTGAAGTAAATACTTGTAAGATGCTCAGGAGGTTAGACCTGATGTCTTCCTGCCATTGGTCACTAGGCCTTACGGGTCACTAATGTCTCCAATGGAAACAGACAGCTCCAGAAGGAAGGATTTGTGCAGAGGGAAAAGAAAAATTAGAAAAGTATGATAATAATGAGAAAAAGGAGAAAAATCAATTGTTAAAAACACGCCTGAAATATAGTAAAAATACATCACAGCTATTCTGAGAGATCATTAGAATGAAAACGGCAGTCTTACTTACCTGAACTATATTGCCAGCCGTGCTGAAGGGGCAGCCCCCACAAAATGTTTTGTTCATTTTCTGGAGCGAATTTTGCGAAGTAGGGAGCTGTCTGCCTCAGTAGGATTTTGTACATCCCCATTCTATCAGTGAATACCCAGGGATCGATAACGTACTTTCCATCCTGTTCCTTGTAGATATGGAACTGACCAGGACTCTCCTTCCACAGAGGAGGATACAGATCTGAGAGACTGGAAGCTCCTGCTAAAGCAGCAGAAATGCAACCAGCCAGTACGCAGGCCCAGGAAGGAAGCAAAGCCATGGTGCCAAGGCTGGGGTGGGGATCGTGGCAGGGCTTTTATTAGAGAATGGAGGAGGAAGTCACAGGGTTGTCTTACATTACACCTTATCACCGCTTTGCTTTTTTTGCTCTACTAGGTTTTACAATATTATCAAAGGGTATAAAAAACAAAATTGATTTCATTATAAAACAAATTTCTACTTCAAGAAAGAACTTTGAAGTATATCCAAATAACACAATCAAGTATCCAAAGCAGTTTGTTGGAGAAAGAAAGCAAATGATGGAGCTGGGGATTTAGCTCAGTGGCACAGCACCTGCCTGGCAAGCGCAAGGTCGTGAGTTCGATTCCTGGTACCAGAAAAAAAACAAAAACAAAAAAAAAAAAAAAGAAAAGAAAAAAAGCAAATGATTTCCAATAACCACTTTTTCAGTAAAGGAATCATAGAATAGCTAAGGACATAGCTTTGCCCCATTAAGGCTGCACTTGCAGAATCTCTTGCATAGGTAACATGTAACTGAGTACTGACCACTGGGAAATAACAGCTACAATGTTCACAATACACAGCACCATGTTGTTATCAATAGTCTTTTGGTGCAGTGCCACACCTGCGATTCTTAGGCCTGTCTAACGGATTCAGCACCTCTTGGTCAACCTTTGCCAGTCACTCCATCCCTAGTATAGTGTGCTGTGCATCACTAGTCCCACTCTTAACTTCTACAAACCCACTGTTTTAAGATTCCCCAGGAATGTGTTCATGAAGCACTCGCTCTTCTCACAACATGTAACATACATGGAGCTACAGCTCCATCCAAGTCCTCACACATGACAAGACTTACTGTTTTTAGGGCAGTATGTGACATGCACTCTGTACATCTACCACGTTTTTCTCACCTTTTCCTCAGTCGTTGGACACTTGGGTTGTGTCTCCTTTTTTGACTATTGTGCATAGTGGTATAATAAACATGGAAGCACAGAATTTTCCTTTGGATGATACCCAGGAGTGGGATTGCTGGGTAATACAGTAGTTCTATTTTCAGTTTTTCTGAAGAGTATAGTTTCCATACTGTTTTCCATGACAACTTGGCTAATTATCATCCCCACCAGCAGTGTGCACTGTTTGCTTTCCTTGCTGTCTTTGCCAGAACTTGTTATCTTTTTCCTTTTTGGTAACAGATAATCTTAGTTGCATGAGGGGTCATCTTGTGCTTTTGATTTACATTTCCCTGATGATTAATGATGTTGAGCATTTTTTCATGTATCTGGTGGCCATTGGTGTAAGTTCTGTTGAGAAACGTGTATTCATGTATTTTGCCCCTTTATATTTGGCTGTCTGTTGTGTTTTGCTTTGATTTGATTTTTGATTAGGATGGTGTTGTTGATTTTGGGGAGCTCATTATATATTCTGGATGTTAACCCCATGTCTCACGTGTAGTTTCCAAATATTGTCTCCCATCCTGTAGATTTTCTTTTCATTCTAATCATTGCTTCCTTTGGTGTGCAGGAAACATTCTAGTTTTGATTAAATCTCATTTGTCTCTTTTAGTTTTTGTTTCTTGTGTTTGGGATTCTTGTCCAAAAATCCTTACCCACTCGCAGTTGTAAAGCATGTTCTGCGTTCATTCCTACAATCATTTTGTAAGAGAGTTAAAGCTGCTTTTTGCTAAAAGTACAGATTTTTCACTTGGTTCTTCGGATGTCCAATTTGTAGTTATAAATAATAGTTTGGCATCTCTACCATCAGATTTGATCTTTCTACTTTTGCTTTAACCTTGGGGTCATAGGTCTGCTCAACTCTGAATGTGCATGTTAGTCATTTAGGCAGTGTTTGCATATTCACGAAATTTACATAATGTCTCTCTTCCCCCCTTTAAGGCTGAAGACACCAGGAGTCACCAAGATATTTTCAAGATTTACTGGGACCTCAAAACCAACATATTTTCAACCTGAATTTTTTTTAAATATCCTGTTCCAGACTACTAGAAAGGTACCTCTAAGCATCCAGTCCTTCCCTAAACCTGAAGGATGGCCCCACTCACTGCTATAACTCCATCTTCCCTTTATGACTTGTTCTTTATCTAGGTTATTCTCTTCTGCAGTTACCTTGGATTCTAATAATAACATGTCTGATCAAAAAACATCTTCTGAAGAGTCAAAACTTCCCCCTAAGCCAAAGCAACTTTCTTAGCGCCAAACACATCTCTGTGATCAGTCCTGATATAATGATCAACTAGATCACAGCCTGAGCAGGACTCCAGCAATGAAATCTCCTGCCTGTGTTCCTTCCATATTTGACCCCAAGTATATTGTGAGCATGAGAAAGGTGGATTCCTCTCTTCTTTTTGATGGGTGTGGCTGCACTAGGAACAAACTCTTTTCCTCCCCTATCTACTATTTGTTCCTTCAGCTGGAATTGGGGTGGGTGGTGGGACCTTGTCTTTGTGATCCTCAGAGCCAGGCTTTTGGTCCAGCTCTGATAACATTTTCATTGTTTCGTGTCTTACATTTAGTCCAGTATATGCTGATTTTTGCGAGAGGAGTCAAGTTTTATTCTTCCACATGTGGATGTCCAGTTTTCTCAACAATGTTTATTAAACAGACTGTTCTTTTTCTAATTCATGATTTTAGTACCTTAATCCAAATAAATAGGGTGTAGATACATGTTACTTTTTGGCACTCCATTATATCCCATGTCCTTCTATGTGTTTTTATACCAAAGCCATGCTATTTTGGTTACTACAGGTTTATGGCCTTACTTTGATGTTGTGTAACATAATACCTCTGGAGAGTTTTCTGCTTTTGTTTGTTGTTTGTTTTGTTTTTGCCTCCAGACTGTGTTTGTTGTTTGTTTTGGTTTGGTGTGGTTTTGCCTCTAGTCTCTTTTGGATATTCAAAGTCTTTTGTGCTTACATGTGAATTTTAGGAAGTTTTCCTTGTTCTGGGGTAGTATAAAAGAAATTACGACACGTAGAAAACAGACAAGGAAAATTACAATCTTAAAATTGTGCTTTCAAGAAAGCTGCGATTTCAGGACACAGACAAAGTTACCCAGGGTGATCCATATCTGTGCTCCCTCCCTTTACTTCTAAACTTGTTTGTCCTCCTGAGGCTGCTTTAGGCTCTGTAGGCTGCTCTGTGTTCATCTTTCATACCCAAAACCCTTAAAGGTACTGCAAGTCTGCACATCAACTTCATTGCTAAGGTAAGGGGCAACAGCCTGATTTTAAGGTGAAGAAACAAATTCAAAGGGTGTTTTTAGGAAAAATATCTTAGGTGTTTTTTAAAATACCTTCAAGAACACACGTATCTTCCCAAACCCAGACTGTCTCTACACTCTATTTTATCTGAGTGTAAACTTCATTAGCACTGTGTAATAAAATCTGTCTGTACCACTCACTAATGCTTCCTGAAATTCCTTTTCTGTGACAAGAATCAAGCACCAACTCTGTGGGCCAAGATGAGTCCCCATATCTTCCTTGAGAGAATTCCTTGAGTCCCATCCACTGACAGATATTATCAGAATTTTTAGAAGTGATATTATCAGAATTTTCAGCTGAGATGAAAGTTTATCTAAAAATATAAATGATTAAGGAAATGTAAAACTCAAATAGTGATGAATAATAATGATGAAAACAGCTTTCTCTAACAGATATTCAAACTTCATATAAATCCTCTAAAAATAGAGTGATACACTGTGGTCACTGATCTAATAATGTGATCAGATATAGAAAGATAAATATCACTGGACTATTAGAGAAATATTTTGTAAAAAGCCCAAAGATGAAAATTTAATGAGAAACTGTAATGGGACTAGATGTAGACATTGCTTATTTATTCACAGGTGGGATAGTTGTTGGAACTCACATATACAATGGAAAAAGTAATTCTATTCTTCATAAAGACGTATTTGTTAAAGATTTTAAAATGTCATAATGTCAACAGTATAATCTGGATTATTAATAGAAGAGGAAACAAATTACAAAAGTAACAACTCTCAAGTAAATGTCAAACTTATGGCATAGGCTTCTAATTATGTAGCTCAATATTTGTTCGTCTTTCTTCAAAAGAGCAGCCCTAACGTTTAACAGAACAGCCTTCCTGGAATAAGGATTATAACGTCTAGTCTCGCTAGACAGGGCTGTGCCATGAACTCTGGCCAAATTGCTAGACGGCAGCTTTTAAGAAACTTCCTTTGAAAACAACTTTTCCTTTGTTCTCCCTCTGCTGGCCAGAACACACGTGTACTAGCATTTTGAGACTATCCTGGATCATCAGAAAGCAATAGGTAAGGCATTAATATGGGGGCCCTGAGTCTATGATAGTCAAGGAATTCTAGATTTTCTTCTGGGACTTTCCACTTCCATTTATAAGAAAAAAGCCTTTGAGTTAAGAAAATGTTTTTTCTGCAGGATTTGCTACTGTTTGGAGAATCTGATTGGAAAGACATTCTAGTTATGGTTTTCAACATTAAATCTGTCTCCTTTTCCATCACTATATTGCAGAAATAGTGTTACATACTCCTAAATCCACTACAATAAGATTTCAAGCTGTGTGAAGCTTGTGACATTTGAGTAGAAAATTTATATTAGCTATTTCATACAAAATACATATTTAAAGCTCATCCACAGAAATAATTACTAAAACTTGAAAGGATCAATACGAAATGAATGACAAAATCCTAATTTACAAATAAGAAAACAGGCTTACTAGGGTTAAGGGACTGACTCAACATCATAAAGATGGTGAATACTGGTTTTGTTCCCAGTTTTACCAGATGCTAAAGTCTGGGCTCTTACAGGCTGTACTAGATAGTGTCACAAAATAATGACGCCAAGAATACTGTGAGGCAATTTGAGCTTATTTTGGTTAGAAATTGTATTTTAAAATCCAGCATTTTATTTATCTCAAAACATTTCATTCACATATTTAGAATACTTTTTAAAAATATGTAAGTTCAGATGGCCATAATGTCACAGAAATGTCCAGGAAACTGAAATCACAAGGACTATAATGTTATCTTAAC